AACATAGGACGCAAAATACAGGCTACCGTATGCAACAATAAAGAGTAAACTGTGAAAACTAAATGGAACCGGCTTACCGGAGAATATTTCGAAATATCCGGGTCTTAGAGCAACTGCTTCGGTGCCTATGATGGCGAAAGGCACGGCAGCGATTATGAAAGGCCAGCGAAAGGTTCGCTGGAGGCCTAAATTGAGCATTAGCAGCTTTTCGCCGAAAGTTGCGATTGGTGTGCCAGTGGCGGCAAGCAGCTTGGTCGGCGATGGTGAGACGACCTCAGCTGGGCTACGGGGTATAACGCTAACTTCGGCACCAGTGTCGACTAGAAACTCAGTGCCGGAAGTTAAATCCCTGGCACGGATGAGGCGACTTTGGTGTTGGCCAGTAGCGTCCGTCGCCGTTATGGACAGGCCGCGAAGTTTTCCCTGCTTCTCGGCGAAGTTGCAAGGCTTGACACATTTACGAGCTGCGGTAACAAAACGCTGATGGTACCAACAGCAAGCCTGCCTGTTGTTAGACTGAGAACGTTTGAAGGGCGATTTTGATCGGCTATGACGACGACGGTCCATAGTAAGCTGTTGCACCTGGCGACTAAGTGTAGCAACTTGTGTTTGGAGGGCTTCTATAGTTGACTGTAATCCAGTGATAGAAGTGCCCTGGGACGCGACGGCATGGACCTTGCTGGCGTCGGCTTGTGACTGTGATCGCTCAATCACTCGATCCGCCAAGTCTGCTAGTTGAGTGAGCGAAACGGAGCTCACTGTAGCGAGCATCGCTTGCGTGTTTTCCGGTAACCGTTGTAGCCATAGTTCGCGAAGTAACGTCTCATCCATGGTTGAGGAACCAAGGAGTTGCTGCATCTCTCGTAGCAGGGTTGAGGGCAGTTTGTCGCCCAGCTGTAGATCCCTGAAAAGCTGCTGCAGGCGAACTTTCTCAGAGGGCATAACACGCTTAATCGTGGCTTCCTTGAGAGCCTCATAGCGGTTATCGGTCTTAGAAATGATAATGTCACGATCCTGCATTGATGTCTCCTTGGGGAGATAGGACAGGAGCTTGCAGTACTTCGCATAATCGGAAGTGATTCTGTGGCTATGAAACTGGACCTCCAGATGAGCGAACCACAAAAAGGGATCCATGTCCCAAAAAGGTGGAACAGAGAGAGATACAACACTAAGTAGATACTCTACCTTATGGTCTACAGATTCCATGGTTTAAAAAATGACGCAAAAATAGGCTACCGTATGCAAAAATAAACCGGAAAATATGAAAAATAAATGGAACGAGCTCACCGGAGAAAAGTTCGAAATATCCGGCGCGATGGTTGATCCGGATTCGGGGTCACCATTTTAGTGGGTTGCCTATTCCGGGAGCCCAGAGAGCGATTCCAGAAGACGGATCGAGTTGCAGGGAAACTTATTGGTACAGTAAAAGATTCCCTGTTAGCTAGCTATAAATGAACGACACCGTGGACGCTCTAGCTAGGGGAACGGATCAAGCACAGCACACAGGGCAGTTGCGCGTTGCAACCGAAGCGAGCGCCAAGCAAAAATGGCGATGAGCAAGTAAAGCATTCGAACTCAGCAATCAGTTCAACAAACCACACCGGTTGCCTAAGTGTACAATTATAGAATTTTGGTTAGAATTTTACACAAGCGAACCGGGTAATCTCCAGGCTGCTACATAGCCCTCTCCCAGAAGGGACTGTGTAAGCAGTCCTTCGATCTACGTGAGGACTGTCCGTCGCGAGCCAGCCTTCTGCGAGACCAGGTTATGAAACCTGATGCAGCTGCTGGGGGAGAACCATGCAATCGGACCCTAGCGGGCTCCCACCCGTGTCCTCCCTACAGTGTCGAAACGGTAATAAAACTGTTTGTGGGGGGACAGTTAGTAAAGTTCACGTTGGCGGTTGAACAGGAAGTTCGTGACACTTGCAATGATGTCCGGGATCCTGCGGAAAGTGAAACCGAGGTTCAACCAATCGATGGTGTTTTTGTAAAGCAAAATGAAAAAAGCAGTATAAATGCATAGCAATACACAAAAGAGTGCAAAGCGAAAAACGTGCAAAGCTGTTTTTGGGTTTTCAAAAAAGTTTTGCTCTTTTTTGGTAGTTTCAAAACGTTTTGGTCTTTTTTTGTGGATTTTCAAAAACGTTTGGTAAGAGTAGAAGATTACGAAGGCACGTTCTACGTAAAATAGTGAGTGCCAACAACGTCCGAAAAACGAACTGGAGGCTTGAGCCTCCTACGGCGTCGATTGAGGGTAGGGCGAGTAGGAGTGCTGTTGGTTGCGGTTGTAGGTTCTGCTGGAGCGGGCTGACTCGTCCGAGGTCGTGGTGCGATCAGTGATGGCACAGGCTGTGAAGGCGCTTGTTGCACCGAAGAGTCAGACCTGTCGAGGAATGCTGGCTTGAGTCGATCGACGTTGACCGTCTCAGTCTTACCATTGTAGTCAATGGTAAAGGTCTTTTCGTTTCTGCGTACGACACGGTACGGAGCAGAATAAGGAGGTTGAATTGGTCAGCGTACGCTGTCAGTGCGAACGAACACGTGCGTGCAAGTGGTTAACCGTTTGTCCACGTTTGTACGCAAGCTCTGTGCTCTGGGTTGCACAGGCTGAAGCTGTCGCATGTGATGAGATAGGCGGGCTGCGTACTCGCCATAGTCGAAAGTTGTTGGCGCTTTTGGTGAGACGAGTTCACCAGGTAAGCGTTGTGCGCATCCAAAGACTAGCGACGATCGAGTGGCGTGCAAGTCCGCTTTAATCGTGTTTCTTATGCCTAAGAGAACGAGCGGAAGTGCTTCGTGCCAGGATGTGCTAGATTTGGCACAGAGTGAGGCTTTGAGTTGCCGGTGGAACCTTTCTACCATCCCATTAGCTGCGGGATGGTATGCGGTGGTTAGATTATGTTGGCAACCAAGAACGTCGAGCAGTTTGCTGAAGGATCCGTCAAAGTGTGATCCTCTGTCAGTGATGACTATGCTTGGGCAACCGAATTGAGCTACCCAGCGTTCAAAGAAAGCTTGTGCAACTGTCTCAGATGAGCAGTTGACTAACGGAATCGCCTCTGGCCAACGAGTGAATCGGTCCACACAGGTGAGTAGGTACACGTAGCCTTTGCATGGAGGCAAAGGTCCGACCAGGTCGACATGGACGTGTGCAAAACGAGCGTCAGGAGCGGGAAAGACGCCAATTGGGCTTTTGGTGTGTCTGTAGACCTTGGTGCGCTGACACTCTAAACATGCTCGCGCCCAAAGGCGGACATTGCGATTAACGTTGGGCCATATGAAGCGTTCCGTTACGAGCTTCTGCGAAGCACGTATGCCGGGATGAGACAGGTTGTGTAAAGCGTGGAAATCTAGTCGACGCATTGAGGTAGGAACTACGGGTCGGGGAGAAGTTTGTGAGACGTCACAAAGAATGGTCCCCTCAGATGAAGCTAGTGGGACTTCGCGTAGTTTCAACGAGGTGTGTCGTCGTAGCTTCTCTGTGTCGAGATCAGCTTGTTGGGCAGCAGCCATAGCGGCTAGATCAATGTTAGTGCCAGGCGATAAGCTGATCTGCTGAATGCGTGAAAGCGCATCCGCGACGGGATTGAGAACACCTGAGACATGTCGTACGTCTGCCGTAAACTGAGAAACGTAGTCTAGGTGTCTAGTTTCCCACGGAGAATACTTGCCCGTTGCGCCATTGATTGCGTAAATCAATGGCTTGTGGTCAGTGAAGACTGTGAAATGTCGACCTTCGAGATAATGACGGAAATGTCGGATACCTAGGATTGCTGCTTCATTTTGGTGGTCGGTAGCCATCTGGACCGGTGACATAATGATAGGTGCCACAAGCTGATCATCAGTGTAAGCGATCAAATCTGCTTTGTTGGAGACCGGAAGCGTCGTCATAAGCAGATCAATCTTTGAGCGAAGATCAGAGAGCATCGAGAACGAACGCTCTACATTTCGCAGCCGGGTATCAAGAGATTCATCTCTCGTACGAAGGGCTGTGCGGCCTTGCCGGCGGCTGCAGCAATTGGCACAACGGAACAGCAACTTTTCGCTAGAGGCCAGCGCTGCGTACTGCTCGGTATTTAGCTCCGTACAAAGCTGATGGTACCATCGGTTGCAGACATCGCACTGCATACCGCCTGAATCGTCAGTTACTGGTACATTGCAGCTCGGTCCGCCACAAAGTGCGATAACCTCAGAATCCGAGCCATCAGGAACAACAGCCTCGGTGCATTGCGAGACCGACATAGTGGAAAACAGAGTGATTATAACACGTATGCAATAGTTAAACGACCACAATAAAAAGGCAAAAATACGGGGTGCAAAACGGGGTTAAAACTGGGAAAAACTGGAAGAATTACCAGTAAGCGCCAAAGACGCTTTGACCAGAACCGCTTTAATCGATCCAAGATATCTTGGATCAGAGGAAATTTGACAATAGTCAAATTTCGTTTCAAGTGTTTATTCAAACACTGTTTTCCACGTCAATTCAACTAAAAATCTCGATCAGCATGGCACGCCAAAAAGTCAAGTTACCGCGTAGCACTCACAGTAACACAGTTCTTTTTTTATTGACACAAATATCGTAGTATTCCACTTGCTAAGCTCTTACCAATTTCTCTTTTTACTTCTGCGTTTACTTTTTTCTCTTTCTTACTTCACGTAACCGACCCAGCAGGGACTGCTAGGGCAGGATACGTGGGCATTAATTGGTTGGACAGGGTGTGATGCGGTCTTTGTTTTAGGTCCATCAGTATTTCAAAGTTCGCTAACTCCTGGTTCAACGAAGAAGGAACACTCACGGGATAATTCTATTGTTTCAGTCCCGCTTGAACTTGAACTTGAATTCCAACAAGCCAATGACGTATATAAATCTGCACTTTTTCCTTCAATTTCTACTCCATTAATGTGCAGAATAAACAATGTTTGCAGATATATACTACTCTTTTCGTCATAATTAAGTCTGTTATTTAATCTTGAACGACGTGACCTTGGACTGCTGCGTTTGAATTTGAGGTCAGGCGGCAACGAGATCTTTCACGCCATGAGCGGTGATATGTGAGTTTACCCTGTTGTTTCTAGCCTAGGATTCATAGTACTGTACGTTTACCGTCGTCTGGACACTTGTGTGAACTAACAATGGCTTCTTGCTTCTTTTCTGTATGTATTCCTTTGCGTGGTCCTCAATTTTTGACCTCGTTTCTTAGCTTGATCACTAGGTTTAGATTGTGCGCCACTGGGATGGTCCATGCATCAGTCGGCATTCCTTATCACCATGCGGCCAACAGCGTATATATACCATGTACCACGTTGCAGCCAACGGTCTATCTGACGTTTAGAAACTACTTCGACAAACCCGAGCCACGCATCACACTAATTCATGATTTTCTCTAATTCTGCTGGCTGTAATGCTTTGCTTTGCACCTGTTGAAAAGGTTTAGTGGTGTGCGTTGGTGTTTGTCCTGGACCTTCGTGATCTGATATGCTCCAGAAGTTGAATGGACGTCCACGTCGGAGTGACCTCATTTGCAAGAAGCGTCCTCGAAGTCGGAATTGAGTTTCAACAGTTCTTCTAGTCTAACGCCCAGATCCAGACGAGATACAAGTATGGGCTGCTCAAACTAAGAACTTAGTCTTCGAAGACGGACATCGCCTCATTTATTTAAGTGGCAAGTGACGAACATTACAATAAAGGAAATTGCAGATGCACTATCAGAAAAGTGTTATAAAAACGACTTCTAGATAATCGCTCAACGGAGGTGCTGTTTTGCTGCCGTCACTGCAATTGCAACAAACCCTTGACGAATGTCATCTAATTCACCAGGATTTTGAATCGGCAGAGCTGACAAGGGTTCTCCCTGCTACAGGCTACACTTTAAATAACAATGAACAGTTATCTTATGTTTTTTACTTTTACGCGTCAGTTGAATTACATTTTAGTCAAGCCGTTACCCTAGTTAGCCTGCGCAGAGAACTTATACATCTTTATTAACCTGATTTTGCCCACAGAGTCGAATCAAACGATGTGTCAACTGACAAAGAAGATCCATTAGAATATTACTACAGGTAGTTTTTCAAGTGCTTCCGTCCATGGATTCTAGATTGCCAGCTGTTGTTCGGCGTCGAGTGAAAGCCTTAAAAAGATTACTGCACGAAACTGTTAAGATTGATGCTGCATTCTACAAAGATCTTTTTGAGTTGGAATTGAAGTATGATGCAAATCATCAGCGCATTTTTGAGCAGGTTTGCGCCTCATTGCTTTCCTACTACTTTATTAGAGGAAAGCTATCATAACCGGATCGAGAGAGCCAACTGACGATGAGTGCGACTGGCCTTCTGACGATGAACACCCCAGTGCAGAGGGCGACGAAGTAGATAAACTCTGTGATGGCATCAGCAAAACAGTTGGTGTTTCCAAACCAAATGAAGGTATCTCCCGTCGTAGCACTTTTTCTCTATGGCGTAGATGATCATTCAAAGGGCATCCCTGAGTTTTGGTTGCAAGTTTTGAAAAACGCTCCTTTAGCTAGTGAACTCATACAGGAGCATGATGAAAAAATTCTACGGCACCTTACCGACATCAAGTGCACACTTCATTCAGATAAACCAGTAAAGAATTGGTATTTTCATTTCAATACGATGCACAGGGCTTTTCTCTGGAATTTTTCTTTTCGCCGAATGACTACTTCACCAACAAGGTTTTAACGAAGAGGTATTTCTTTAATTACGATATCTCCCCGGATGAACCCTTTGACTATGAAGGTCCTGAGATCGTTAGCACTAAGGGGTAAGTGTGGCTCTTTCAATTCTCTTGTATCTTCAGATGCACTATCAACTGGAATTCAGGGAAGAATGTCACCGTCAAGATTGTAAAAAAAATTCAAAAGCAAAAGGGCGGTGGCGCAAAGCGAACTATTACTAAGAGTGTTCAAGAGGACTCATTTTTCAATTTCTTTAACCCACCAACGGAAGGTGCGCACACTTGTATCATTTTCATTGTTTCTAGTTCTCTCGGATGAACTAGTGAGTCATCCACTACTACAGCTATTTTTCAGGATGACGACACACAGTTACTCTTGGAAAGCGATTTCAAGCTGGGACAGTTTATGCGGGACAGTGTGATTCCAAGGGCAGTGTTGTTTTTCACTGGTGAGGAACTGGCACAAGAGGTAAGGTGGTTTTTCCATTGATGTTTTGCAGTCTGATGACGAGGATGATGAAGACGATGAAGAGGACGAGGATGATGACGACTCAGAGGTGATTCGCATTGTTTTATGCCTATGTGATTCAAAATGTTTGCTTTACCCACCCTCGATTAATGTTTTCAACCTTGCCGCATTTTGTGTTTTTCAAGTTGCTCATTAATCGCTTTTACTGTGCTGTATTCTGATTGCAACCCTCGGGGTAGATCTGTTCATTATATGGATTGGTTGTCCTTTTAAATTTGTTTTATTAGTGAGCATGTCACAGCATACTTGAATTATCCATGTTACATCCACTTTCCTTATGGTGTTCGTGTCTCACTGTAAGCAGCTGCGGTACGCCTGCACATACATAGAGGCTACGAGCGGTTTTTACCGCGCTACCCACAGTCGCACTCATTGTAAACTCAGAGGAGAGCGGCGGTTGTTTAGGAATCGACTATTCCCTAACCGCGTCAATACTGTGCTATCAGGAGCAACATGCGTACCACACGAACATAGGATAATGACTCTACCATAGGCCATTGCAACATAGTGACATGGTGTCAAACAGTTTGTTGGGTCTCAGGGCGATGTTTCTTTATCAAACAGGATTGAGTATACCACATACGGCAAGACAGCGTATCAAGCGCCCTACGCAGCGATAATGATGTGGTAGGATAACAAGCGGCTGTTTTCGACTCAACAGTTAGACCCTCAACAGAAGCACAGGGAAAATCTGGTTCAGTAGCCTAATCAAGCTTGCCTCAGGTGCATAATTACAAAGTCCCATTGGTATCTGCTAGTGGCCCGTCACACGCAGCGTTTGAAGGGTTAGAACAGTCGTATGTACTTTTCGGCCATACTGTGCTGTGCGTACTGCTAACCACTGGGAGTTGGTGGGTTTGCACGCATTTGTCCAGGGACTGTCTGGTTTAAGGCTGGCACACAGTAGTGCCTCAGATCCTCAATGCGTGGCACTTGCTCTACGCCAGGTATGTCCAAAGTCCCGTCCGCGGGCCAAATGCGACCCGCGTTAACAATTAGTTCGCAACCTCATCATGAATAATAAATTCAGGCTTTACTTATATGTGTAATTTTCGTTATTATCTTAATGTTAAACTGAATGTGGCCCATCTTGCATAGAGTTTGGACACCGCTGCTCTACGCTAATCTAGTTGTGAGCTTATAACCAGTGAGTCGTCTTGTTAGATTTGTCATTGGATGGCCATTTACATCTCTTCAGCTTCAGAAGCGGACGCTGAGAATATGTCGATCTGACCCCCAGCCGTTGACATGTCTAGTGTGAGTGGCTCTGAAGGCACATGAGTGCCACACATTGTAGTTCAGTGGGCCACGGTAGTGTGCGCATCATGTCCATTATAGAAGCGCTGGCGTGTCAATATAGCGTACCGTTATACTGTTATCAATGATCACGCTGCATCGTGCTTGTGTCACTCAGTGATCATAAAGGTTGCATTAATTATCTCGGCTGAACGCAACTTCGCTTACTGCCGTCTGCTGCGGTCACCAGAGCCTTGTGTGTCTGTAGGGAATTTCCAACCCGGTACTGGTGCGTCTGGAGTGTCCTATCTTACCCTTACTCCTTCAGGTTGCTATGTCAATGACGGATGTACTTACTACTTCCATGCTCGATCAGAGACGGGTCTTAATAGGCTTGTACCTTTACACTCAGAGGCTTCTGCTTGGCCGCTTGTTTCAGACCAGTGTTCAACGGGTATCTCCTTTCACACCCATAAGTAACCATCAGTTCTCATACTCCACACTAGTCTAGCTGTTTATTGCTTGTACTGATTGCTAGTCATAGCCGATATATTGGAGAGCTCATTTACCTTCCGCCTCCGAATTAAGATACGAATATTTATTACCTTCGAACTGAGTGGCTCTGAAGCCGTTTAAATTTGGCACATAGCATAGCTTACTGGTTACCAATATACACAAGCCATCTTATCAGGTTGGGATATGGAGTCGCACCGTTACTCCTTTTGTGATGTAAAACAAGTTTTTGTGTAGATTCATCGCAGCTCTACCTAGCCAGACAACCACCACGCATCCAAGAAAGCGCTTTCCTGGATGTGTGATGGTTGTCTGGCTAAGTCGAGGTGTGACGAATCTTATTAAAAACCTTATAAATCCCCTACTACTCACAACAACTAGAATTGATCATACAGAGAGGTGCGTGCTTGTTCGAACAGGATTGGAAGAAAGAGACCGTCCCAGCTAACTGGAGTGAATCGATTATAGTGGCAGTATACAGGAACGGCAGTCGCACCGACGTGCTGACCGCGAACATATTAGTCGAACGTCAGTGGCAACAAAATTACTCGCCTCAATTTTCGTCCCTCGCCTAATTGCGGAATGGGGATCCCGGATTGAGAAATAGCAAGCAGATTTTCGCACAGAACGGGACTGTGTAGACCACAATCACTATGCTGCAGATACTAGAGCAGCGCCACACGTACCGCAGACCGACAATAGCTCTGTCCCTGGTCTTCAAGGGTGCGTTTGACTTAGTCGATTGATCCATTATGTTCGAAACGCTTGCGCGGAAGGGTGTTCCCATAAAATGTTAACATTTCACACGCCCTGTACTCGAACATGACAGTCCGCGTCATGTTGGATACTTTTCCGACAACAAGCATCTTTGGTCAGGTTTGCCTAGTTTCCCCATTTTTGTTCAATTTCGTCGTGGACTGCGCCATAAAATGTTCCCTTGCTGAATTTCACGACGCGGGCGTTGCGATGCTGCCTAGTGATACGTTGGTTGCTTATGCGGGCGGTACTCTTACTTTTTGACGAATTTAGGCGGTCCATTCAACACTGATTGGCCTCTAGAGTGCTCTCACCATTTTCATAGTGCAATGTTGTTGCAAGACATCAGCTGCCTGATGACCGGCTCATAGCCTAGAGGTAACGAGCTTGTAATCTTGCGGCGCGGGTTCGAGCCTGCGTAGGGGCAGGGCGGCCCTCACAGTATCCTTAGCCCACGTGCGACTGGTAGTGGTTGCGCGGCGGCAAAGCGTCGGTACTGTGTACCGGCGTACTTCTGATACCTCACGTTGCTTGATGATCTCTTGACCCTGATGGCGAGGAACTGGAGGTAGTTGATAAATTCACTTACCTCGGCAGCTGCATTAACATTGATGAGCGCATAATCACTGAAGTTAGTTCACATGTTGTAAAAGCCAGAACTGCCCTAACTCTGTGGCGTCAAGCAAATTTATCGGGGTCTGAAACTCCATGTTTATGAGGCCACAGTAAGTACCGTCCTACTCTATGGAAATGAGACTTGGCCCGTTCTGTCTAAGGATCTGAAGCACCTACAAGTCTTTCATCATCGGTGCCTGCAAAGGATTGCTGGTGTCGGGTAGCACCATGGTGTCCGCATCGATGTGCGTAGACGAATGCTAGGCATTGATAATTAAGCTAGTTTTTTGGAGCAACAGGTAACAGTGAATAAGTTGCGTTGGCTTAGGCACGTATTATGTAAGCCCAGACATCGCTTTCCTAGGAGGACCTTGTTTTGTTTGCTAGATGCAGAGTGACAGTTTAAGGCGAACACTGGCAAATAAAGTCACTAAAGACCAGACTCGTTACCGTCGGTCCGCCTTCCCTCCTATGCTAAGGTCCACGTGCCCCCCTTCCATGTGCTTGGCTCGATACGTCACAGCAGATGGCTCACGGTCGACACCACTGGTGCGTCTGCTATCGTCTCGTAGTTCTGCTGGCTGTGTAAAGTGTGTTTGGTGCTGAGTAATGGATGATTATGATGCGGGGCAGTAGAAGCTGCAAGGAATCTATCTCTCCAGTACCGTGTCAACTTTGCACGATAGCTTGTTGTTTGTGACGGCATGTTGTTGACAAGGTGTATGCGCCTTGTTCCTGAATGCTTATTCATTATTCTTTTTTTCTTAGGTCGTGGTTGTATATCATCGATGCATCAGTACATATGGCTGTTTTGCTGTTGATGATGATTGATGTTCTTTTGCTCTGGAGATTCCATATGACCTATAGACAATCTACAGTTGGGCTCTTTTGATCAAGCCCGATCATTGACACTAGCAATATGCTTGTCACCCGTCGGACTTGTTCGGTTATAACCCTCCTGTCTGATAAATATCAGTTTCCGTATTTACAGTTTGCTTATAAGGTTGTAATATGTGAATTAGGACAATCGATGGTAGCAAGTGCTTTACATGTAGAGCTTACGATTGGTCATCTCATTTTTATACATAACATCCAAAAAGCCAGTAGCGCTTTTACATTCGGTTCCTTACACTCCCACAAGTGTTGCTTTTGCTTTTTGAAATTAGCCTTAGTTTGTGCACCGTATCCTTGTCACTGCTAGCTTTATCATTGCATTGGCTTAAACCACTTCAACTAGTGTTCCCTACTTCGGCCCCCCCAATCATGGCTGAGCGGATGCGGCGAATTAGTGTTTGAACAGCGAGTGCAGGTCAAGCTGCTTCTTTATCCGCTGAATTCAATCGGTTTTCTAAGCATGAATTGAGTCCACTCAGTTGTCAGGAGTATAACACGCTTCTCTATACAGCTTTTCATTTTTACCACAGTTACAGTCTAGTGGTCAGTTCGACGAATGGTGTCTACAGACGTTATTATATTGTGCAAAAATATGAGGTAGCGCTCTAAACCCTTTGGCGTACTCCTCGTGTACAACCCATTCGATTTGTCATTGTGCAAACGTACCTTAGTACTGCTTTGTTAAAATCGCTGGGAAGCTTTAATCCATGGCCGTTTGTTTTGACTCACTAACACTGCTTTCCGGCTTCCGCTAAAAACCTACAAAAACCGATTTGTATTCAAAACCTGAAACCATAAAATCCAAGTCCGTTCCAAGCATGCTCCGAGATATTGAATAACCAAATATTGTTTCTCCTTTACTTCACAGGACGAAGAAGAGCCTCACGTGAGTCGTTCAGTGATGCTTTTTTCCTATTCATCGCTTGGTCATTGTTCTCACAGGCCTTAATTCAAACGGGAGTTTTAAATCCAAACATCTTTTCATACAACGGACTGATCCTGCTCCCAGTACGGAGCTACCTGCACATTTCCCACAACTTACACCGCATTAAGCGGTGCAACTTGTATTGTTTTCTTCATTCTCGGATTCAACCTACTCACTTATTATCCACGCACTACGGTGTGTCGACCCACAAACGCTAGTTGCTGTCACTTAAGAGACTCGTCCTTTGAGATGTGAATGTTCGCTTGTCCTGTTGGTCGCTGCATTAGGTTTTTCGTCACCATACTAGGCGACATCGTCAATGCAACTTCCTCAACTGTCTCAAACTAGTGACCAAAACCAGAAATGTCTCCAATCTCCCAAAGCTCACTTAAAACATACATATGACGGCTATCCTAAGATCGGGCTCTGTCCGTCCAACAGCTCATCTGAAGGAAAGAGCACGGGATACGAGACATGCATCGCACCTCCGACCTGGAAGTAAAAAGACATAAAGAGTACGTCGGTACACGGTGCCGGCCTTCTCTACCGCTCAACCTACCTCCGGTCGCGTGTGAGCTAAGGATACCATGAGAGTCGCCCGGTCCCTACGCAGTCTCGAACCCGCGACCTCCGAATTACAAGGTAGACTTGTGGTCCATCAGGCCCCGGCCCGGCTCTGACGTGGGACTCAGTCGCAAGACTGAGCGGGCACGGACCTCTTTTACTATTGCCGAACGCGGTCGATCGGCCTACTTTTGATGTTCAAGTAATCGAACTGCTCACATTTCACATTTCTAGAGCCTCACGTTCATTTACAAAGACTGCGTCATTACTGTGCGTTACATGCTTCAAATGACTGACCTCGGCCGTCAGTTCCCTGCAGAGCTTTTTACACCTTTAATGCCACTCATACCAGCTCGGACAATGATTAGAGGCCAAACGAGCACAGTCTCCTAGTCCAAGTTGAGGGTTGGAGTGATGGTGGCTCCTTATTCCTTAAAACGGAAACATTGTAGTCCACTGCGAAACCCGCTGCTTTGCAGTCAAGTTTTTGAACCAAGGGCTTTAATTGAGAACCCTAATATTTTTCCTGTCTGGGCTTGCGCAACTTGACAGTATCCTGTGCACGCGATACCACGAATATTTTTTCAACTAATTTCTTGATGCTCTGACCGTCGCAGAGGATACTCAACGGTACCCTGTCTGTTGCATCGGGCAGAATGGGTGGGGTTTATATGCAATTGCTCAAGCCTACCCGTCTTCTAATTCCCCCTCATACGCTTTTTCACCCTTATCTTCCCGTTCCAACTTTCCTTTTATCTTCTTGTTTTAAACCATTTAATTTTGGTCTTCCGTGGGGGAAGGCTTTGTTAGGCGCTTGTCTTTTAGTTTCAACACACGCAAACGCGGAGCGTCGCTTTTGCCCTATCGACAAGCCTATGTCCAATCCAGCGGTCAAGCCCAGTCCATCCGCTTCTTTTCTGAGCTCCCTATCCTCCCTCAGACTGGTATGCCTCAACGTGAACACATCGTTACAGATCGGTCTATAGGCATCACTTGCCCGAACATTAGAGGCCTCGATCGATATCTTCTGCCCATCGGAAACCCGCCTACAAAGCTCGAGCTCTGTTCTCACTGTGCGATCCCCTTCAGTTAACACCAGCATGCTTATCCGGAGACGATGCAGCTGTTGGTTTGATTTCGATCAGTACCCGGGTGTGTGCGGTCCGATTAGCTGGATGGTTCAAAGATTCGAAGTCGCGCGGGACTAAAAGTTGTCTGTTTGTCATCGCTGCCTACACGCACACGAACCGTAGCGATTCCTCGGTAAAAGACGACTTCTACCGCCAACTGCACGAGCTCCTTCGCCACAGAAGAAGCTCGGATAATGTATTGCTGGTTAGGAATCTGAATGCTCAAGTTGGCGTATTATCCACTGATGAGTTGCTTCTGGGCAGTCAACATGATGTAGGCTCCCGTAACATTAACGGTGAGTGGTTACTTCATTTATGTGAAGACGTTACTTATTTCTGCGAACACCCGGCAGGTGACATGTCGCCCACCAGCCATGGATGCAAATCGATCACATCGCGATCAGTTATCGCTGGAGAGGCTGCGTCTAAAACTGTCGCTCGATTTGGAGCACATGTGTAGACACTGACCATGCACTTGTATGTGCTGATCTGCTGGTACGCTTTGTTGAATGCCCCGGACGACGCTGTGGGCGCTTAAACACCAGCCATCTGGTGAAGTCATATCAGAGTGCGCTGCCGACCGGACTGAGTAAGCGATCACTGAATACTGTTGATGGTCACTGGTCGCATGTTCACCAGGCAGGCAAATCCTCATGTGACAGATCAAATCGCCAGCCTTTTCACTAGATGTATACGCAGTCTTTGAAACCTATTGATGCTCACCAGCACGTTCCGGCTGGAAGCGAACGCAATTAGACTAGCAAAGACCACAGGGCAAAACTACGTGCTAGCCTAAAGAGAGACCGCGAATCCTGATGGTCACATCAGAGATGAAAGTGTTCGCTTCCCTCGGTAACCTACGGAAGTTATTCCATCTGATTCGGGAAACGGGCAGCAGGAGACCTGGTGTTAGTGAAATTAGATGTGACTAGAGTAAACAGCTACAACTTGTCAAAACGCTTAGAGCATTGGGCTGAGCTCTTTGAAAGGCAATTCAATCGTCCGGAATTGTTACCTTCCTCATTTTTCGTTATACACGTTAGCTAGAGGTGGGAAACACCTCAGCTACTATGCCACAATACATAAAAGCAAAAAGGTTAAAAATGCAACAGGTGCAAGCCAGTTGAGCTACCGGTAACGGATGGCCATCGTTCCGGTAAGCTACCATCCGGCCACTATGCAGCAAAAAATTAAGCAAAACTATAAGGCTAAATAGCAAAAATGTGGTTGAAGGGGTAGGCTAAGAAGGATGGGGTGGGACAAAGAAACTCAACACGAACGCCACTGAGGTCGGCTCCTAGCCATATCAGCAAGTGTATCCAGTCAAACGTGTTCATCGTCTTTCGGACCCCAACCAGGGAGCCGAGACGTTCCAACCGCTGCCAGCTTCGAAGTGAGGGCCTTCATTCCTCTCGACCAACTCATCGCTTGGCCACCTCTCTTCCATCCACACCCTCTGGCGCGCAAACAACGCACGTCGCTGGAGTCGGTGAGCTGGCATGCATAACACGTGGCCGAGCCATCCGAGTCTGGTGCTTAAAATAACGGTGCTGAGCGGTTCAGATCCTTTTCCTGTACCGTAAACAAGGTGTCGAACATGCTCATTGCTTACTCTGTGTTTCTACCATATGTGAGCCAAACTGCGAAGGCACCGGTGGTCTAACGTAACTAGCCTCTTTAGATCCGTTGATCTAAGGGGCCAGATTTCACAACCGTACAGTAGGGTCGAACGTACCGCTGCATTGTACACTCTACCTTTCAGGGCGAGAGTGATGGCGCGTCGGCGCCATAGGTGGCGAAGGTTAGCAAAAGCGCCTCGAGCTTTTGCTATACGGTTCGTGATTTCACCTTCAATCCCACGGACATTCATACAACATCCCAGGTAGTTGAATTTTTGAACGACTTCTAGCTGATCCCCACCAAAGGTCAGCGTAGGATGCGGTCCAGGCCAATATTGGAGGAACGCTTTGCACTTCCAGGGTGCGAAGCAAAGCCCGAAGCGGCTCACACCTAATGCAAATCTGTCTAGTGCCGCTTGGCACGCTTGTAAGCTGTCGCACATGAGGGCAATATCGTCAGCATACTCCAAGTCAAGTTCTCCTGGCAGCCGATCCACACCTGTCGTGTCCTGTGAACGCGATTTTCATGACTTCGTCAATAGCGAAGTTGAAGAGGAAAGGTGACAGCGGGCATCCTTGTCTCACACCGCTGGAGATATTAAAGGGCGACGACAGGTTGCCGTAGGCCCTCACTCTGCCCGAACTACGCGTGTGTAACGCTCGGATAATATTGACATATTTCTCAGGTACACCTTTTCTGTGTAGACAGTCCCAAATTGCACGTCTATCCAAGGAAACGAATGCACTTTTGATATCGACGAACACGGCAACGGTGGGCCGCCAATATATGTGACGGTGCTCTAACAACTGACGCAAGGTGAAGATGTGGTCAATGCAGCCACCACCTCGACGAAACTCGGCTCGCTCTACACGAATATGGTTTTCACGAGTGTCATTCAGTCTGTGATGGACGACAGAGGCAAGCAATTTGGAGACGATGGAGATCGGACTGATTTCTTTATGGTTACCACATTTTGATCGTGAGCCTCCCTTGAAAATTGGGACTATGAAGGAGCGGCTCCAGTCGGTTGGGACAGTTTTCTGCTCCCACAGTTTGACTAGTAACTCGTATAAATCATCCACAAGAGCAGGTTCCTCGAATTTGAAGGGGGCTGGAGGAAGATCATCTGGTCCCGCGGCTTTAGTTAACTTCAACAATGGGATTTCACGTTCGACTTCTGAGCGAGAGGGTGGATCCCAAGGGACAGTCCAGGGAGGAAGGTGATCAGTGGCTGGCGAGAAATCTAACAATACCGATCGATTAAATTGCTTTTCAAAATGCTCAGCCCAACGCTCCAAGTAAGGTTTCATTAACACCAAGTGTTCTGCTGTCCGTTTCTGGTATCAGCCGAAATAACTTACGATGGTTCCCTTGGGCAGCGGCCATTTCCACCAGGATTCGCGGTCTCTCTTCAGGCTAGCACAGAGTTTTGCCCGGATCTCTTTGCAAGTTTCATTGTGTTCGTTTCCAGCCGGAATATGCCGGCGAGCGTCGCGAATAGAACCATGTACTTGTTGGCCATTGGACTTACCACATGAGGATTTTCCTGCTGCTATTATGGTCTGGTGAATATGAGATCACAGAGCTTCAATTGCATCCAGTGAGCGCTCACTCAACTCGCATGACGGCATATTTTTATAGGCATTT